AGGTTTCAAGTTGGGTGCGCGCCACCAAATTACCAGAATAGGTACCGTAAGTGTAGAGATCAGTAGTTGTGTTGAGGCACAACGAAGGGACCGGAGGCCCTATTTAAATATTTTGTATTGGTTTTTATTTCAATAAATGGCACTGTATGCATTCAAATTGAAAGATGTAGTGGCAAACGTCCCACCACTCCATCCCTCCATTGGATCCGCCCCTCAGAATCTATCCTTTCTTTCTTATTCCCTTTTAATGACCTGTCCTTTCTGTGTTAAAAACTCTTACTATAATAGTTACATTCTTAGAAAACTCCCGAATTCCAAATCTGTTGTATGAAATATAAAGAATTTACACATTGTTGGTCTAGTCAACCCATCTTAGTGGGGTAGGAAGAGAAGGTTCCCATGCACCCCATGCTTCAGTATATTTTTTAACTAACATTTTTGTAATCCTCTGTTAAGAACTCTTTCGAAAAACTCCCTATTCCAAGTCTGTTCATAAAATATAAAGAATTTACACATTGTTGGTCTAGTCAACCCATCTTATCTCCACCTCGTTATTATATACCCTTACTGCGTTAAATCGAATACGTAGGCCTATTGAATCTCTGCTACAGGGCTCTTCTATAGTTTCGGACAAGTTAGATGGAGATTTGTATTTAAACTGTATATTCATACTTTGCAATGTAATTCAAATTGTTGTTTGTTTTTGTAAGCTTACGAAACTTCTTTATAGTATCGAAATTACGGAAATAAACACGATTCTTACTACAGATCCCTGTAAATCCTCGTCATTGCACTGTTGCAGTTAGTCAAGGTTAGATCTACAATTTTTAGGTCAATATTTAGTTTATCATCTGAACCATAGCTGCATGTATTTTAAACATAAGACTTCAATTTTGTTGTAGTCTTGGCACGCGTCAATGCTTTCGATTCACTTAATAATAAAAGAAAATTTAAAATACATACAGACAATGAATGATACGATACAAAGACATTTGAAATGGCAGCAAACTTGTTCACAACAATACAAATCCTAATGTATATTTTAAAGGTGTACCGGTACGCATTGGCGGTTTCATGGGGCGGGGGAAGCCGACCCGGAGCCCCTAAATTGTTCAAAATTATAAAATAAAATGGGGAAAAAAGGAAATTATATTCAAATATAAGTCTGAGAATGCCATTACATCGGCCATTTAGAGGTGCCATAATCATAAATTGTCTTGCGTCAGCCCCAACCTCCATTGTGAAAGAACCTTCTTACTACCCCTCCATTTCGAATTACTCGATCGGTAACTGGTACCGTCTGTTATAAAATATTGAACCCCTTAAACATTAAATTAATACATTGAATAGATTAACAATTATAATCAAACCAATCAATTAATCGTAACAGTTTGTACAGCGGCAGAATCCACTGCAAGCAATGCTCGAGGATGGTCCTGCGATGACATTGGCTCAAACCAGGGAGATGTAAAGCTCAAACTATCAAAGAATATATACAATTACTGTAATACTACTTCAGTTACTTACGGGTATTATCTGAATGAAAATCATTTACAACAATGGAAGTAAGTGTATTATATTGTTGTGGCAAAGGAGGCTACAGCAAGTTAATAGCTCACTTTTTATGTAAGGTCATTCACAAGTATGTATTAACATATTGTAATCCGAGAACAAGTGCTGAGACTAATGCAAAGACCTACCTGTACGAACTTATGCATTACGAATATTGAATATTTAACTGCAATGCATTGGGGCACGTTGTTATACTGTAGGTCCTGCCTGTACCAGTCTAAAACTGGCGAAACAAATGTAGCTAACCCATGGATGTAGTCACCCAAAAACCCACATTGAACGCTCCCACTTACCGTTAAAATATATTCTTAGTTTTGGATATCCTTCTGTTGTCACCGTCGTAATTTCCGTGTTAAAGTCTTCCAGAAAAAGTATTAATTCGAATTCAAGGAACGTGTTCCAAAATTAGAGACATGTATTTATAAAAACAGGAAGCAAGGCAGGCGTTAGGAATCATGGTTAAGTCGATGTCGATAAACTAGTCGGTTGCTCGAACTCCTCGCAATACAGTTTACGTTCAGCGTACTCAACTAAATTCAGCAAACAACAACAGCAGTTGGACTCGCTGAACGTTCATGGATTAGCGACGGAGGACAAAAGACTATGAATCAATACCATGTTACTATTGGTATACTAGGATACCTGACTGCGTAGGATGACGTCATCGATTGATCCGCCGAGAGATGATAAAACAGGTACTTAAATTCAATTTTTAAATGACGTCATAGTTTCTAAAATACTCTTAGGGTATGTTGAGTGGAGCATTTTAAGAAATTGGTGAATATGGCGAATAACTAGGGGAAAGGAGGGGGCGTGAATGTGCAACCGGAGAGCACCCGCATGGTGGGAGTGCAAGAGGGCGTATCCCACTCTTAACTTCTATCACCTTCGTTAACTTGAGTTTGTATTTGATTGATTTTTACTATTTACTGTAGCATGGTAATTTTCTCATAAACTTTACAAAAAAATAATTTTACCAAAAAAGGGAAGTGGTAGGAAGTACCCTCTTACGCCCCCTAAGTTCACCACTGAATATAACATTATTATCCTAGAAGAATTTCATCTGAAAAAATACGTACCTATGTATAATCATTTGTATTATTATAACATTATTCCTGTTTGCGTCAGTAAAAATATAATAGGAATAATGTTTTGCCCTACTTGGAAGTATTGAATTTTCGGTACGTTCCCAAATTACCCGCTGCAACATGATGATCGAATCCAAAACTAGCCACTAAGTGCAAGCTTGGTGGGCTGATGGTTAAGTTAAGACACCAGGCTAGATATCTGGAATATTGCTATTAGAAACGTAATAAGCACTCAGTACGATAAAACGTCAAGCAGAACATCATTCCTTTTTATCATCCTTATCATTGTCATCGTTATCAATAATGTTAATTTATTATTATTATTGTATTTAATATTATTGTTATTATTACTATTATTATTATTATTATTATTATTAACGTCATTATTATCATTATCATTTTCATAATTATGATTATTATTTGTCTGAATTTTTCTCGTGTTCATTTTGAAAAACTATTTATTATCATTATTACTTTTATTATAATTATAATTATCAATAGTATATTATTATTATTATTATTATTAATATTATTATTATTGTTGTTGTTGAAGTTTAAAACTATCGTGGTGTAATATATTAATTTGATTCTATGAAAAATAACATGGTGCATTTACTTACATCGATTTGAAAAGAAAAATAACTGAGTACCTAAATGAATACAGCATGGTAATGTGATTGTTCACTGGATAACCCAATAAAGCACCTGAAGCAAAGTGCATTAGTCTGTCTAATTATTCAAAAAGACAATAACATCATCGAATGATCAATCCATTGGAGTATTGTAGGGTTTTGTTTATTCGTCCAAGGCCCGGATTATATTATATATTTCAAAGCTTATATTCTTTTACCAGTGTATGTATATCGCAATGGTCTAGTGAAATAAAATAAAATTTGCAAATATGATGTCATTAGTGTTCATGTGTAGATACTGAATAATTATGCTCATGGTATTTTTAACCGTGGTAGGCCTATAATAAAATGTCATCATGCTGGTATCTATGATACCGTAATGAAAAGGCATTCACTCAAATCATTTTGTTTTATTAATGTGAAGGCGAAGTAGATTAATACGAAAAGCCTATGTTCATTTTGAATTTCGCAATGGCAAGGGCAGGCCTATGTTTACACCAAACTATGCAAGATTCCCTTGCGAGAAATTTCGAAACTGCGCAAATGATTTCTTTGCGCACAAATCTGACACTGCGCATAAAGGCCAACTCAGACAGCGTCGGCCGACGCAGCCCGACGCGATTTGTTGTCGCGTCGGTTCTGTGTGAGTTAAACGCAGAAGCGATGGTGTGCGTCGGGGGCAGTCGCGTCGTAGAATATTAAACATGTTTAATATTTCTCACGACGGCTTAAGACTGTCCCGGACGATAAATAGCGTCGGCCGACGCTGTCTGAGTTAGCCTTAACATAACATGAATAATAAGGTATTATGCAAGTAGAATAAACTGCCCAGTTTTAAGGTGTAAAGTTAGTGGCTCCAGCAACTCTGCTAATATTGGATTCGTCACTGATTAATATAATTGTAAGTGTATTGTTGTTTAGTCGACAATGTTTATTTTAATCCATTTCAGCAATTGTGTGCTCCAACTGCCTGGCAGTACAGTTGTAATAAATAAAATTCAAAATGATGTCTAGACTATGTCATATAGGCAATAGATTGGATTATAAATTTCGAATGATGTTAAACAATAGTACTGTATGCTCTTAATTAGAATTCTTACAAAAAATTAATAAACAAACAACAATCGAGTAGACCTATAAAAAAAATCAACACGACTTTTTTTTTTTAACATTGAATGATCTCATGAACGAAGGCTTTAATACTGTCTCGTTATGTCGTAAAGTTTAATTTGATTATGGACATCCGACATCCGGTCTTTGACTATATATATATA